AATTTAGATTATTTTTTATTTAATATAAAAAATTATAAAGATTGATTAAAATTTGAATGATTTTTATTAGAAGTAATTATTGATTTTTATATTAAGATACAGATCTTTTTGCATCAATTCATAGTAGCCATAAAAAATATTGATATAATAATTTAATTATCAACTTTTAAATAATAACCATGATAATAAACTTTTCAATATCAAATCAATCTTTAATATTAAATCAATTTTTAATTCTAAAGATGAAAGTAAATTTTATTTAATAATTAATTTGTAAAAGAATTGAAAAATAAAATTAAATATATTAGAGAAACTTATCAAGATAATAAATTAATTAGATATATAAATAATAAAGAAATGAAAATAATTTTATATAAGTATAACTGAATTAATATTATATAATAAGAGAGTAATCTGAAGAAAGATAGCTTTAGACTCTGAGAAAATCACAAATTAATTTTCTAGTAAAATTTCTAATAATAATAATAAAACATGGTGCCCGCGGTGTGCAATTGAAAATCGTCGTACTCGAACGATTGAGGATATGAGAAAGTTTGCAGAAAAAAAAGGTCATTGCCTTGCAACTGAGTATATCAATAGATGGGATCCTCTCGAATGGCAATGTAAAGAAAGCCATGAATGGAAGGCTTCGGCAAGGGACATTCTTAAGGGAACTTGGTGTCCAAGATGTAGTACACCTGGTCGAAAACCTGTTACAGCGGATCAAAATGTATTCCAGTCCAAAATCATGTTACATCAGAGCAAAAATGCCAAAGACACGGTCAACCACGATACAATATTGATATAGTGAAAAATATTGCACAAGAACGAGGTGGTAAATGCCTTTCTACCGAATATATTAATGCAACTACAATAATGTTTTGGAGATGCATCAAAGGCCATGAATGGTCTACAACTCTTTATCGAATAAAAAATATGGGAAGATGGTGCTCACAATGTGCTGGTAATTTTCCTTGTGGTCTTATGGAGGCTAAGGAAATTGCTCACAGTAAAGGAGGTATCTGTCTTTCTACAGAATATATAAATCTCTGTGTTCCAATGCAATGAATGTGTAATAAGGGTCATAAATGGTTTACGAGTTTTAATTGTATAAAGCACTCTAAAACGTGGTGCCCAAATTGCTTAAATAAACATGAAAATTTATGTCGCAAAATCATAACCAATATTCTTGGCCCACCTTCTAGCATCCGCCGACCAGACTTAAAAACACCTGAACATCCTCGGGGACTAGAACTCGACATTTACTACCCGCAGTATGGGTTGCTAACACGTGTATCTGCAGTTGGTCACAAAACTCACATGACATAAACAATACAGTACGTCAAAAAGATCAGCCGTTCTTTCTTGCCGAATGGAAAAAGTCCAGAACAAAGAGAAGGAGGAGAAGGAAGCGGACAAGGAGCCTTTAGTTCAGAAGTCAAGTACAATAAACAAGGCAAAATTGCGGTATATATCAATACCTTCTTAAATTTGAAGCCTTAACTGATTTAAACGCTACCATAACTAACGATTGGCTTCATATTAGATGTCAATGATATATTCCAGCTTTGACATTTTGGACAAACCTTGGTGGAAACTCCATTTTGATGAACGCAATACTGAATATTTGATCTCAAGTGTCAAGCACTTCCAACAGGTTATATCATCAGCAGTTGATAATGAAAGCAATGAGTTCTTCTGGAAAGGATACATCGACCTTCACCGTGAACGTTACCTACTCGAATGTGTTTCTGCGGAAAGTGACATCGACCTCACTATTGGCTATGTACAGAAGTTGCTAAAGAAACCTGGGTTTCTTAGAATGTTTTGCAGAAGAATTTTTGCGAAGTGCCTCAAACCCGATAGATCCTCACGTTTGGCTAAAAAAGTGCAAAATCTTTATAATGTTTTCATCGACATTTTCCCTTCTATCTTCTTGCCAGATCTTCCAATAGATCGTTTTACACCTGGGTTTGCAAAACAATTGCACCGACAAATTGGTAACGGTTTAATTAAAGATGCTGGGCAGTATAGAACGCAATTTGTTATGGCGGCACAAGACAACTTCGTATATATGGCACCGAATTTGATAAATGATAGAATGGATGAGTTATTCCGTCAATGTAGAGAGAAATTTGGGAAGACAGACTTGCAGTTGGAAGAAGCTATTAAATATGGGGCATGTTTTCTTGCCTACTTCTTGTTGATTCACCCTTTTATAAATGGAAACGGAAGAGTAGCGAGATTGCTTTTGAGCTATCTCTTATCAAGATTCACTGTAGTACCACTCTCTTTATATACAGGAATGATGTGTATTTACAGTGTCTACGTGAAGCACAGTGGTATCAAGACTCGTTCAAACCTAGCGCACTCGCAGGCTTTATACTTGAGTGTATATACATGACGTCTTACAACATATGTGTGGTGATGGATGTAGATATTAGAAATTAGTAATAACTATTATGAAATAATAATATATGTATATCTTTTAGCAATTAAAAAAAGTAGTTATTCAGTAAAATTTTCTTTTAAAATCTCATCAGCTTACAAAATAATAAAGAATATTGGAGTAACGAGTTTAAAGGGAGGAAGTGTCTCGAGCCCTAACCCATAGAATGAGAGTTCCTTCCCGCTACTCACTATTAACTGCTCTATTTACTGGTTTGCTATCAATCCAAGCAACGTACTTATAATCGGAAATTAGCAGAGCTCGGGAGTACTTATTTTCGGAGGGATACTTATTTTCAAGGAGCACTTATATTTGGAGCAATTTTGGCAGCAGGCTACGAGCTTTATTAATAGAATAAAAAAATTATACTTCTACTTGATATTGGTGCTGTTTCAATCATCAATACTATCTATGCTTTCAATTTAGCAGGATATACTTGACATCCTTCAAGATCATGAATATTAATATAATCATCATGAGAGCCTGTGAAATGCCACACTTCTCAAATGCATAAATGATAATGGCATTATTTTTCATATATAAATTCCAATTCATTTGGTCATAAGAATATAATGATCATTAGCAGAGAGCTTTTTTATCATGTACTTGTTAAAATTTTAAGCAAAATACTTTGCACACAAGTTTTGAACATGTTAAATATAAATTATACAAGTCAAATAATAAAAAGAATAATACAATCATATTTATTTGAATTATATATTAAATATAATATTTAGTAATTGAATAAAAAAGATATAGTTTAGTAAAATAAATATAATTATGATATTATATTTATATAATGCAATATATTAAAAATGTTACTAATTTTTTGAATATAATAAATATTAGTAACAAGAAGATTTAATAAGAATATTCATAATAATCACAAATAATATATTTAGTATTTTATTATATTTTCATCAATTTAAATATTTTCTTAAAATTATATAAAAATATAACTATTTTAATAAAACTTTTCTTGTTTAGTTATGCATAAAGATAGCTTCTTAACTGTTATAACATGATAATAAATAAGCATTATTTAGTTACAACTAGTTACAACTTATAAAATTTTAAAGTTGTATCATATTATAATAGATAATAAATAAGTATTATATACTTATTATATCATCTCTAATTATACAAATATTTTTTTCATAAAAAATAACTAATAATTTAATTTATCTAATTTTATTTGTAAAGATTATAAGCGAGATAGTTACTTATTACTTATCTAAATTAAATTTAATTTATATAATTTTAGATTTTTATATTTATATATAATATTCTTAATATTTAATCTATATTAATAATCTAAATATATATTTATTTTTCTAAAGATTTAATATAATTATTATTTATAGCTTATATAAATAAAGGGATAAAATAAATAAATACTATTAATTTTAATATTTAAAAATATTTATATTTTATTTATAATATATTATAAAGAGATATTATAACAAGATTTAAAATTATTAAATTATTTTAATAAAAACTTAAATAATAAATTATTATTATTATTAAGATTTTTAAAAAAAATTTATAAGAATTATTTTATTTTTTATAAAAAGATTATACTCTCTTTTAATAAATTTATCTTATTATAAATTAAATATTACAAATTTTTGCTTTTTGATTTTTAAATTCAAGAAATTTTTTATATAATTAATATCTTAAAAATAAATATATAGTAAAATATTTATTTTTTTATATTTTATTTTTATAAAAAATTTATTTTTTTATAAATTTAACATATTATATTTTAATATATAAGTTTAAAATATCTTGTTATTTTATTTTTAATAAATTTATTTTTGTAATATTAATCAAGAATAAAAAGTTTATACTTATATATATATATTTATTACTTATTAAAAATATTATTATAATTTTCAAAAAATTTAAAATTATTATTAAAATTATTATTATTATATAATGGCAATCAAAAATAATATAATACTTAAATTTTTTATTAATTATAATTAATAAAATATATAATTTTTCTTATATATAAAAGTTTTTAATTTTACT